CATTTCTTCTTCAATATTAGGGCTTCCTGGCGACGACAATGGAGAAGGGTGCGAGTGAAATCGAAGCACGCGCTAGTTTGGGAAACGACTCAACACAAGACAAGGTAAAGCCAAATCTTTTTCTCCGATTGGGGAAGCGTTTGGTAAATTAACGATTCAACACAAGAGAAGGTAAAGTTTAATCATCTTCTTTTCGAGTGTTACATAATCTTCCATTGATTAGGTTTGAAACTGTGAAAGAGTTTGGTGATTTTTCAATCGTTGGGATTTTTTTTTTGATTATGCACAGATGCTTAAGAGGAAAAAGGAAGAAAAAGACCTCAACGAGACTAGTGGTATTATATAATTGGAACCTTGTTTCCTTGCACCAAATCTCTTGCCTTACAATATTACTAAAGCAATTGTTTTTTATTTATTTATTTGGTCTAGCGGAAATTGTTTATCCTTTTGCTACATTGATTCAGATGTCTCTTGTTATCCGCGAGCTGTGTGCGCTAGTTTTTATGCAAACATTTTGCGAGATATATTATGAAGTAGGTAATTGCACTCCCCTTAAGCCATGTCCTCCTACAAGGCCACAGGGAGACACTTGTCGTGCTAGAGGAAGATTATGGATTCGATGTTACATCTACTTTATCACGGATCGACGACTTGTTAACTCGCAACCCACAGGAACAAATGTGGTATTTGATCAAATCTAACATAGGACGAGTTATGTACGCAACTCACGGCAGGTCGGAGACTCTTTAGTAAAACTATACTATATGATTATATTCTTAAGCTATGTACTTTTTTCCATGGGGACAAGTATGATTTAAACTATGATCCTCCTTGGCTTTAAGTTTATTCCTCTTGATCTTTTATATTAGAATTACGTGCAACGTACATGCCATAACACTTGTGTTATACTATAATTCAGATAATAATAAAAAAAAATGGTTAAAGGTGTTTCGCAGATCGGATATTTCGAGATCATGGTGGATTCTTTCTTGAAGCGGGTCGTAGTACAGGGTCAAAGGTGTTTCACGGTTCTTGAAAGCTCTATTGATCGCAATGCAACATGCTTGGAGTGGAGGTTACTGCAAAATCGTTTTGAAGGAGACAACAAAATGGTTACAAATCTCTTACAAGACAAGGTGTTAAATTTTAATTTACCAATTATATATGTAGACATTCCTATGAACACTCCATGTCCCGGGACGAAAAAAACACTCGCATACACACATTTTCTTGGCCAAGCAGATTCAACCTTCATCACAACAACATATTCGAATTATATCAACACCACCATGGTTTTCTGCCTAATTGACTCTTTGAAATATATAAACACACTAATATACATTTAATGGAATTTGAATTAATACGAAAGACTGAATTTGAGATTTTAAACAAAACAAAATGTACTTGATTCTCATTTTTTTTATCAACAAGAAATGAAAAGGCCCAGCAAGTGAATGCTAGTAGTTGATAAATAGAAGAAATTTAACATCCTTTTCCCCTAAAAAAGGAAAAACTCCTCTCTCAATATTAGGGCTTCCTGACAATGCAGAAGGATGCGAGTGAAATCGAAGCACTCTCTGGTTTGGGAAACGTTTCAACACAAGAGAAGGTAGAGTTAAATCTTCTTCTCCGATTGTTACATCATCCATTGATTAGGTTGAAACTGTGTAGGTTTGATTTGCTCCTCCATTTGCTTACCCATGACTATGAGTGAACGGTCGTCAATACCGATCTAGCATGTTTATGTGCCAAAAATTGGCGGCTTGTTTGGTGATTTTGAATCTTTTGATGCACAGATGCTTAAGAGGAAAAGGGAAGAAGAAGAAGAGCAGAGTTCTGACCTCAACGAGACTATTGGTATATGTCTTTAACTCACTCTAATTCTCTCAATATTGGAATCTTGTTTAGTTTTGTTTCCTTGCACCAAATCTTGGCTTTGCAATAATGTCTAAAGCAATTCCCATTGTTTGTTTTGGTCTAGTGCCAATTGTTTTGCCTTTTACGAAAACCTCAACCAGGTGAAACGAGTATGACTCAATTGACACACCAGAACGTCCTCACTTCAGTTCAGTGGTTCATATGACTTTTTTTCGTTTGCGCGAGACCTTTGCGCTAACTTTTATGGATGTGTTTTACACCGTATTAAGTGAAATATATGGTCGCTCTCCCATTGGCAAAGCCGAACTAGATTCCAACAAGGAGACTCTCCTCTTCCTAGAAGGGGAGGGATTCAATGTTAAAGTTCATTTATCACGGATCAACCATTTGTTATTGGAGAAAAAAAATGCTCCCAAGAAAGAGACGAAAGGTGCATCTGATCTTGCAGAGGGCACATAACTCTCACCAGGTGCTCTAGCCCGTGATCAATTTGAAACAATGGACTCTTCTGGTTGGTAACTTTGATTACTCCCTCTGTATCAAATTATATGATTTTTTAGAAGTTTTTTTTTGTATCAAATTAGATGATTTTTTGAGTTTTCAAGATAAAATTAAATGCATTTTTTTTTATTTTGACTATTTGTATTTTGCAGTTTGATTTACTATTGG